AAGAAAGAAAGAAAGAAAGAAAGAAAGAAAGAAAGAAAGAAAGAAAGAAAGAAAGAAAGAGTCCTTTCTCACCTCTGTCTCGATGAGAATTAGAAACACTATTTTAAAAAATTATCCTGAGGAAAATATCTATTGGAAATAAAGAGATACCCAGAAACGGCACAAAGAAAAGAGGTAATTATTAAACTCAAAAACAAAAGTGTAAAACAGATAGGTGGAGGGAAAATAATATATCACTTCCAGTAAACTTCCTGTAGTCTCTCCAAACCACGCTAAATCCAGAGGGGGGATTTCTGTTTTTTTCTTAACCAAGCCAGGATCACTCGCTGGCCATACTCTAGTCATCAAACCCACTTTGACTTTGCAAAGGTGAATCTCAGTTCGTCTGATTTCCAGACAATAAATAATATGTAAATAATTCGCCCACTGTCCCCGTCTTTGCATTTGACTGATTGAATGCACACAGACCTGAACTCTACAAAAATTTCGCCAAGGAATTCAAGAAAACTTTCCTACCAATTCTCTCTTCTCTTTTAAGACAGGGACCTCCAAAACCTGGCGACTTTTTAAGACCCGGGACTTCAACTCCCAGAATTCCCTCCCCACCAAGGGGAATTCTGGGAGTTGAAGTCCCCAAGTCTTAAAAGTTGCTAACTTAGTTTGGGGAGCTTTGCATCTACCCCAGAATATACATTCTCTGTTTTTTTGGTGTTTTTTTTAAGGCAGCCGATTTAATCGCTTCGAAAGTCTCCGTTAGCAAACCCAATGGCAGAGGAAAATCAAAGCATTTTCGGTTTCCATTTTCCCCCTCCTCTTTTCCCATCAATCAAAGGAGTTTCCCTAATGCTAGAATAAGGGAAGTGATGAAAGCAACAGAAAACGTGTTGTGTGAAATGATGAAGCAGAGGACTTTCTGAAGCAACCCGAAACAGAAAGAAGCCCAGGGTTATTCCCTCCCAAAATCCTAATTTTCAGAGAACCGGCTAGCCAGTTCAAGGCAATTGGGCCATTTTAACTAGCTTCACTCTTAATGCTTTCCATAATCTGGATTTTACATTTCCTACAGCTTTGCTGTTTATCTTTGGAAGGCTCTGTTCAATGATACAAAAAAGGCGGTAATATATTTGTCCCAAGTACAGGCAGTCCTCGACTTACGGCCACAATTTTTAATTTTATTTACTTTATTTATTTACCTTTATCGTCATTGCATTCCACGAATGCAATGAAAATTTGAAAGCTACTCCAGCACAGTGCCCCAAACGCCGCATCACAATCACACTACAAGTATTTAAAAATTAAAATAATTAAAATAATAATAATAATAATTAAAAACCTTAGTCTAAAACCTATCTAAAACATTTAGTAAGTTAAATAGTTAAAAATGCCACTATATACATAGGACTGGATCACAAATGCGCTGTTTGATTCAAGACAATTATTGCCTTGGAAAAGAAACTGTTTCTCAAGTCTCTTAGTCCTCATTTTAAGACACCTATAACGTCTCCCTGATGGGTAACAGTTCGAAATAGGAATGTCCAGGATGAGAACGGTCTGTGGAGATTTTTAGTGCTCTAGAGAGCACTAAATGGATTTCTAAATGGATATATTTAAAAATCAAAGATAGGATAGGACAATGAAAGTTGAAAAATGCTTTTCTTATTTTTTTTTTCTTAGCAGATTAAATACAAACTGGTCTTCACAATCTCTTCCAAAGAAGAAAGGGAGCAACCAATGATTTTTTTGTGCTGTGTTTATAACTCTCTGGAGCATCTTCTTATCCACTACAGAGCATCCAGCATACTACACCGTTACACAGTATGCCAAAATGCTCTCAGTGGTAGAACGGGTTGAGCCCAACATTTCTGTTGCCGAGTGAAAGATTTGTTAAGTGAATTTTGCCCCATTTTATGACCTTCCTCGCCACTGTTGTTAAGTGAATCACTGCAGTGGTTGAGAAGTAACCCGATTGTTAAGTGAATCAGGCTTCTCCATTGGCTTGGCTTGTCAGAAGGTCGCATAAAAGGGTCATATGACTCCGAGACACTGCAACTGTCATAAATACGAGTCAGTTGCCAAGCGTCTGAATTTTGATCGTTGCAAAGTGTGAAAAGCAGCCACTTTTTTATAGTGGCGTTGTTAAGTTTGAACGGTCTCTAAACGAACTGTGGTTAAGTCGAGAACTACTTGTTGTGGCCCACCAGCGGCCAGCAGAGCTGGCGGCAGACTCGGACACTGAGGAGGTTGGGGTGGAGCATGGGCCAGACCTGGAGTCTGGGGAAGGCTCTGACGAGGGCTCTGCGTCGGAGGCAGAGATGGGGCCAGGGCCATCCGACAGTTGTCAGCTGCCTTTGGAGTCGGAGATCAGTGGGGAAGAAGAGCAGCTGGAGCCTGTTTCTGATGTGCGCATGCGCAGAGCTGCCAGGAGAAGGGAATAGCTAAGGAACAAGGGTCGACTTGGGAGTAAAGCCACAGGTGGACGCTGAATGGCCCCTCCCATAGGGAATAAAGAGGAGCGAAAGGGGAGTGGGGTTTTGCAGGAGACAATTAGTTCAATTCATTAGGGTGAAGATCTGTTCCTGACTTCTTGCCAAGTAATTGCTGCTACAGAGTGGCGTTTAGAAGATATCGGCCTGGCAACTCTCCCAGCCTGGTAAAGGTCTGTAGTCGTGAAATCTCTTGAAAGACTGTTTGCCGGGACTTTGCTGGAGAGGAATTCCCTTTTAACCTAAATAAAAGGGGTTTTATCGGAAACGAGGAGTCGGCCTCCTGATCTTGGGAAGCCTAGGTCAGAATACTACCTGAATTTTTTTTTCTGTTTAGGTCACCTGTGTGCACAACGTCTAATAAACCCCGTTACCTGGAATATCTTTCTTATGCAGGAAAGTCCGCATGACAGCAATTTTGGTCTTTTCCAAACCATCCTTCGTGCCGCTTTTCGCTGCTTTCATAAACTGGGTCATCTGCAGAAAAATCAGTTTTAAAAACAATTACAGGAGGCAAACGGGGGCCGTTGGACACCCTGGCCAAGGAAAACTCCCTTTTATTCCAATTCAGAAAAAAATAAAAGCTCATCCTCGCTTAATGACTGCTGCTTGGGTGCAGCGATTCCGCCACTCAGCGAGACGTCACGTGACTTACAAGTGGTTGTTAAAAGAGACACCGAGAGACTGTGAGACACCAGGATGGATGTAAACAAAAGACTCCCCGATGCCGAGACCGTAGAAGACTTATAGTTCCTAAACTATAAATACAAGACAGCTATAGTCCTCTCTTAGCGACTGTCCTGTTTAGCAACTGTACAAAGTTGCAACGGTGCTGAGGAAGTAATTTCCTAACTAGTCCTCACATATATGACCCTCACAGCTTCCCTGAAGTCACAGGACTGTCATTCAGGTGCTCATCCTGCCTGTCAATCATTGACGTCCTATTTATTTATTTATTTTATAATTTTATTAATATAAACATTAAAAAAAAACATTGAACGTGGCGGTCTTCTTTTACGTACATTTCAGTCAAAACATTTTACCTTAGAAAAAAATCAAAAGATATAAACATTTATACACACACACACACACACACACACACATATATACATTTGAGCTTTGTATCTTTTTAGTTCTTTTTCTCATACCTCAGGTGTGAGGTCTCTCACCTCTTTTCTATTTTTTTTTATCTTAAATTCTTATTTCAGTTTAATGAATTCCCTTTCATGTCCCTCCAACAATAAAATTTATTCCATACTTTATAATATTCTGAAAATCCTAGTTATTAACATCTTTTCTGAATATTTTTTTGGGGGGATATCTTCTCTCCTCGCTCCCTAACCCCAACCTCACTCGCTGACTTTTTGGAAGCCCAAAAGAGAAAAATTAAGACAGACACAAGCTACGGGACAAAAAAAAAAAAAAGAAATATTCTGCAGTTTATTTTCCCCTCAAAATAAGATTAATTCTTTGCAAAGCAGATGAAGCAGCAAGGAAAGGACAGGAACAGAAAAATGCAGGGTTGTTTTTTTTTGCACCTCCAAATCCAGCAGGAAAGGAACAGGAAAAGAAATGGAGGGACACAGAGGAGAAAGGACAATACCTTACAATCGTATCTTTGCTTGAGCGCTTGCATCTCTCTGCCCCCAACTTTCAAAGCCAGGATCTCCATTTTAGTCTTGGAACACTTTTCCTTTAGCCTGTGAAGGTCGGGAGAAAGCTGCCACCCCCAAAAAATGAACGCCGGCGAAGAGAAGCCGTGGGAGAAGGAAGAGAGAGAGAGACAGGCACAGAAATCGGGGTGAGCAAGCCAGAATCTTAGCAAAGGCAGGAAAACACCGCAAAGTGCTGCGTGGATGGCGGGACAGCAAGCAGCAGAAGCAGCAGGGTTAACAGCTTCCCTACGGCCCCTTTTGGAGCGTCCTGCTGGCCCCCCACTTGGATCTTGGAGGTGAATTCAACATCCCCAACCTTGCTTTTAGAGGAGACGTTGCAAGTCCTTTTCTAGAAGTCCGCTAAAGACTGAAGATGCTTCTCTAAGGCAAGGATGTCTCCAAACTTGGCCACTTTAAACACTTGTGGACTTCAACTCCCAGAATTCCTGGTGTAGGGTCTCCCGCTTGGGCGGGGGGTTGGACTAGATGACCTACAAGGTCCCTTCCAACTCTGTTCATCTGTTAAATTATCTGTTAAAATCCTGGGAGTTGAAGTCCACAAGTGTTCAAAGTTGCCAAAGGTTTGGAGGCCTCTGCTCTCAGGGACCGATAAGGTTGCAGGCTCCCGCAAAGGGGTTCCTTTCCCTCCTGATCCCTGATTACCTTCGGCTGGAAGGAAACTTTGGGTTTGGCGTGAGCCGCATGGGCTTTGCTTTCGTCGGCCGAGTCTTCGCTGTAGCTTTCGAATTCGCTGGAGCTCCAGCCTAAATCTTCAGGCTCCTGGGAGCCGAGCTTGGCGTGAGGGACATCTTCGTAAATTAAACTTCTCTCTGAATCTGGAAGAGGGGAGAATCGGCGGTCAGTTCTTTGCTGAAAAGCGGGGGGCAACGAAGAGAGAAGAAGGGGGTTGCCCCCTCAGCACAAGGAAGCTTCAAGAGGAGAAGAAATAATAACACCAGGAAGGAGAAGATGAAACGGAAGAGCGGACATTGGTGGCGCAAGGATGAATTCAAGGAAAAAGAAAGAAAGTGGAATTAAGCGGAAAAAGTTCGGATGACAGGTGGCCCTCGAAGGACGAACCCCAGCGGAGCCCAACATTTCATGTTGCTCACCGAGACAGTTGCCCAAGTGAAGTTCTGCTCCATTTTTACGACCTTTTTCGCCAGGTCGTGAAGCGAATCCCTGCCGTTGACGTTGGTTGTACGGTTGTTAAGTGAATCTGGCTTCCAAAGCACCTGAAGGCCGGACAAGGAATAATAATCATGGATGGAAACTGAACCGGGAGAGATTCAACCTAGAAATAAGGACTCTGCTGGTCGGAAGGTGTTGTGGTCCGCCGGCAGCCTGTGCAGACGGCAGTGGAATTGGACAGTAGGGAGGAACATGGGCCAGTCTGGGAGTCTGGGGAGGACTCGGACGAGGGTCCTGCGTCTGATACAGAGACGGGCGCAGGGCCATCTGGGAGTTAGGTGCTGGCTCCGGAGCCGCCAGAATCTGACAGCAGCGAGGCCGAGGAACAGGGGGAGCCTGTTCCCAGTGTGCGCTTGCGCAGAGCTGCCAGAAGGCAGGAACAGTTAGGGCAAAAGGGGCGACTCGGGAGTAAGGCTTGGAGATGATTGGCTCTCCCATAAGACATAAAGGAGGAGCAAAGGGACAGGAGCCTTTGCAGGAAGCAACTTTCTTCGTATTGGTCGGTTTGAAACCTGAAGCTTGGTGTTGAATTTGTGTTCCATTTTGGCCTCGTATAACCAATTTGAAATTTAGTCGTTGGCAGCATTTCAAGGAAGATAAAGGTGCGTGCTTATCAGACTTATCCTGAAGGACTTTGGCAAACTTCCATGGGATTATTTACAAACTGTTTCAGACTCATTACGGGCTGTGGATAACTAAAACTCATAGCCGTTGAAATAAAGAAAAAAGGGTGTTTATTAGTGTCTCCATAAGCCTTGGTCAGAACAGAAAGTCACAAAAAGGGATCACATCACCCCCACCGGGACACTGCGGCCGTCATAAATGCAAGTCAGTGGCCAAGAATCTGAATGTAAATCGCGTGACCACAGGGACACTATGGCGGTCGTAAGTGTGAAAAAAATGGTCATTGGTTACTTTTTTCAGTGACCTTGTAAGTTCGGTCATAAATGAACCGTTGTAAGTTGAGGACTAGCTGTATTGTCCAACTACAGGTAGTCCTTGGCTTACAACCATTCATTTAGTGACTGTCTGAAGTTAAAACGGCGCTGAAAAAAAATGACTTAGAGGACCGTTTTTCACACTTACGACCGTTGTAGCATCCTGATGATCAAAATTCAAACTCTTTCCCAACTGATTCATAGTTATGACGGTCGCAGTGTCCCGAGGTCACGTGATTCCCCTTTTGTGCCCTTCTGACATGCCAACTCAGTGGGGAAGCCAGATTCCGCTTAACAATGGTGTTACTAATTCAAGAACTGCAGTAGGATTCACTTAACAACTGTGGTAAGGAAGGTTGTAAAATGGAGCAAAACTCACTTAGCAACCATCTCAGTTAGCAACTGAAATTCTGGGCTCAGTTGCAGTCGTAGTTCGAGGACTACCTACATGCTAGAATACCTTCCCCTGAGTGAAACTTGGTCCAATTTCTTCCTAGACTCAACTGGAAATTTTTATTTAAAACAAGATGAGAAATTCATAAGCCCCTAAATGCTTATATTCTGTAGTGATGACTAACAAGTAAAGAAGTAATTAAATATTGCACTATCAACTGTTTCCCAGGTGGCGAAAGCAACATTAAATATCCTCTCACTGTGCTGAGCAGGAAAAATAAAAACAGGAATTTCAAAACAGAAATATTTTAATGATAAGCACGCTCTGAAAAGCCCTTTTAGGGTTTTGCCAACCCAGACCAGGTCAGCTAACATAAAAAGTGACTTTTATTCGTTGTCTTTTATTGGCTAAAAGAAAAATGAGACAAATCAGGCCTGAAAATGTTAAGGAATTGTAGAAAAAGCATTGGGGTTTGGCAAGAAAACCCCCCTGGCTTCTATAAAAATGGGTTAATTTCAGAGAAACATTGCAGTGGGGATAAAAACACAAAACAAAACCAAGTATAAAGAACTGATGTTTAACCACGAAGAGAAAAGATAAATGAAAAGCAAATAATTTCCACTTCAGCATGGCCGCCCGCTTTCCTATAAACTATAAAAATGGTTTAAATAACTAAAATAAAGTAGAGACACTTTTGTATGAAGGATTATTTGAGCACGGGAGGGCCGATGAAATTCCTGTAAGCATGTTTGGAATGTCATTCTTGACTTCTGTTCAGAGATGAAAAATAAAGTGGGGAATCATTTATTAACCTGAAGAAGAAAATCCCTCTAAGATTTGGAAGTCAGTTAAAAAAAAACACTGAATATATTCTTTTAATTCATTTAAAACAGATCAAAATTGGAGTTGCGTTGTACTAAGAGCAGGTCGATAAACAAGCCCAACACCACAGATTTATTTATCCAGAATAATGCATCGGTTGCACTCCTTTTCTTCTAGAGTTTTATCATTCTCTCTCTCTCTCTCTCTCTCTCTCTCCTGATTTCACATCCAAATATTGTAGATTTATTAAGCCTCCTTTCTCCTTTTCCTTTTTTTTTTTTTTTTTTTTTTTGGCAACAAATCCTTGCCAAAGACCATTTTTAGCAAGACAGGTAAAAGAATGTTTGTGATAAGAAGGGGAGGGAAAGAAAATGGTGTGACCTTGAACAAAGACGTGCAAGAAGAGAGCCGTGGGGGTGTGTGTGCCTACCACAGTGCTGTAAATTGGCTTTTTCGTAAGGAACATCATCGTAAATCACTTCATCGTCAACAGACGGGAAGGTAAACCGATCACCTGCAACAGAGAACGGCACAAGCTAGGGAGGGCAATCGAACCTAGGATGAACCCGGCCACATGGGAGACAACCAACTGTTTTAAGCCACCATGAGGACTAGAAACATGGCCTGCTGGAGCGGCACAGGGAGCCATCCGGAGCGAGCGATCCGCTGCTCCCCACGGTGGAAAATAGGGTCCTACCTTGAGATGAATGTCTTCGCTTCCAGGTGTAAATTCGTGTCCCCGCCTGGGAAAAATCTCCATTGCTCACCGGCCCCACCGATCTGGAACAAGATTTTGAAAAACTGAACCCAAGAAAGCCAAATATTATTCTGTCTTAAAAAGAGGGAATGATCCGCTGCCCTTCTAACCCTCTAAGTTTTCACGGGGATCCTAATTTTGTAACCTCCAGCCAAAGTGGATATTCCTGAACTTTGGCCCCCTGGCAACCTTTTTATGGCACCTGGGCAGGTGTGTCTTAAAGGAAGGAAGCAATGCCATGCCCCCCCCACTAAAATCAACTAGAATCCGCTCGCTAAGGGATCTTGATTTCTTCCTTTGACACCCAACTTCTTCCTAAAAAAACAAACCCACGCCCCAAAATATCAAGAAGGGCATAGAGAAACCTTCGCCGGATGAAAGATTCTCTCCCCTTGTAGCATCAACCGATGCAAAGTTTCTACCAAACTCCTAAACTGCAGCGATTAAAGGACGGTACAAAATACTTGCCCGGGTTTTAAAAGGCACCGTTTTGCACAGATTTCCCAGCTTATAAAGGGCATGGTTTAATTAGCAGGTAATTGGGGGGAAAGGGGGAAAGTGCTACTGGGGACCCCTCCCTAAAGCAATCCGCAGCCCATAATTACTCTTAGGAAACTGTCACTAAGCATTTAACACACTCCTAGGATTAAAGAGCCTTGGAAGCAGCCCACCAGTGCCAAGTGGCAAAAAAATAAATAAATCCCCACCCACCTTCAAGGACACAAACACAGCCTACTAAAACTTTTCCCCCACCATCCCAGCCTCTTAATTTAGGGGGGGGGGTTGTTTTTTTGTTAGTCTGCCAAGATTTCCCGCAAATAAACCCCACATCACCAGCCCTCTCTCTATCCCAGCTGACTCACGATGTGCTGATATTTTGAATGTGCCCGGAGCTGATTCGCTGTTAAAAACAAAAATAAAAAAAAATAACCAACGACCCAGAATCTCCCACGATCTATAATGCCTTTTACCGTTTTTATGAGCATCCTTCTCGCACTTATCGAGGTGTTCGTGGGTTTTTTTTTGCACGGAGTTGCATGACTCCTGTTCACCCTCCTATCTCTTCTGCAGTTCCCCCCCCCCCTCGCCTGCCCCACTCCAAATTTCTGGGCACATGGAGGGGTAAATTGACAGAAAATCCTACCCTCTCGTTGGCAGAAGTCCCTTGCAAGCATCCACGCCTTCCAGGGGGATGGATATTTATATTTCCACCCCCCCGTCCTTTTTTTGATCAAACTCTTCTTATGCAGCAACACAGCACCAGGCCCTTTGCAGGGCACGAGATAGGCTGCCTACCCCCCTGCTTCTCATCTTTGTAAATGGAGCTCTTTTTTCCATTTGGCCTCCTTCCATCCCTCCGCTTAATGGACAGAGCCCGGAATTGACTCCCAATAAAAGCCATTCTCGCTGGCACGAGAGAAGAGACAGTGCACACGAGAGAAGAGACAGTGCACACGAGAGAAGAGACAGTGCCAAGTGCATTAACTAGGACTGCTAACAGCAAAGAAGAAATATATTTAATTATTCATGTATTAACAGCAGCCAGGATTGGGTTTGCTCAGAATTGCATAGGACGATAAAATACCAGACGAAGGAAAAGGTGACTGAGGAAATATTCGAATGCGGAGAGATGAATAGATTTAACACTGGCCATGAAAGAAAAAGAGGAAATTGAACCTGACATGCGGTGGGGTTTATTTTTTATCGACGGTTAAAAAATAAAGCAAGTTCAAACTGAGCAGATGAGTATATAAAGAAATTAGTTAAGATTGTTATAAAGGCAACAGGTATAAGAGGAAATGATTTATGATTTATAAAGAAAATGTGATTACTGTTATATTGGTAAGAAAAAAATATTAATTATGATAGTTAGCACAAGGTATATGCACCCTGTTATGGTAGATATCTCCAACTTGCCAACTTTAAGACTTGTGGACTTCAAGTATTAAAGTTGACTTCAAGTCAATGGTTAGAAAATAAAGCAAGTTAAAACTGAGCAGGTGAGTATATAAAGAAATTAGTTAAGATTGTTATAAAGGCAACCGGTATAAGAGGAAATGATTTATGATTTATAAAGAAAATGTGATTTCTGTTATATTGGTAAGAAAAAAATATTAATTATGATAGTTAGCACAAGGTATATGCACCCTGTTGACACACTGTATGAATGAAAGATGGAATTATTGTAACTATTAAAAATAAAAATAAAATTAAAAAAGTGCATTAGCTAGGCAATACACACACACACACACACACACAGTGTATATACACACGCACATAAACACACATACATACATATTTATTTCATTAGCCTTTAAGTCTGTCTGGATTCCTCTATGGTAGATATCTCCAACTTGCCAACTTTAAGACTTGTGGACTTCAAGTCAACGGTTAGAAAATAAACACACACACACACTGTATATACACACGCACATAAACACACATACATACATATTTATTTCATTAGCCTTTAAGTCTGTCTGGATTCCTCTATGGTAGATATCTCCAATTTGCCAACTTTAAGACTTGTGGACTTCAAGTCAACGGTTAGAAAATAAAGCAAGTTAAAACTGAGCAGATGAGTATATAAAGAAATTAGTTAAGATTGTTGACACACTGTATGAATGAAAGATGGAATTATTGTAACTATTAAAAATAAAAATAAAATTTAAAAAGTGCATTAGCTAGGCAATACACACACACACATACTGTATATATACACACACATAAACATACATACATACATACATACATATTTATTTCATTAGCCTTTAAGTCTGTCTGGATTCCTCTATGGTAGATATCTCCAACTTGCCAACTTTAAGACTTGTGGACTTCAACTCCCAGAATTCCTTAGAAAGCTTAACTGGCTAAGAAATTCTGGGAGTTGAAGTCCACAAGTCTTAAAGTTGCTAAGTTTGAAGACCCCTTCTCCATGGGAACCAGGAAGCAGCTCAAGATAATAAAAATTCCCAGGGGAAGGGGAGGGGGGAGGCAAAATGAATAAGGATCCTTTCCCAAATTAATCCAAACTATGGCAAAAACGGCAAAAAGAAAAGAGAAAAAAAAAACGTGTTATCATAACTGTAGGAAGAGTTTCCTAATCTGTTATCTATGGCCACATCTCTACACTGGGCTAACTCAAAGCGAAACAGACCCATTTCCAGTTTGCAGAACTCTAGAGCAGGCAAGAAGCCAAAAGAAAATTTTAACAAAAGAGAAGTAAAAAAAAAAAAAACGAAGGAAAAAATCCTCCGGCGAAATTTGAAAGATGGTAGAAGATACCCAGGTTGGATTGTCTTCAGGTGTCCCTTTTAAAAGATGTTGGGACCAAGAATCCAGCAGAGTTCAGTCACGAGGGCAAACTGTTAACCTGTTTCGACTCAGCAATACACTCTAAGCCACGGAATCCCAGATCCTAATTACCGAGTTTGCTTTATTTACATGTTGCAAGAAGCCAAGATCAAGCCAGCACAGAGGTCTTCAAACTTGACAGCTTGAAGACTTGTGGACTTCCAACTCCCAGAATTCCTCCTCCAGTCATGTTAGCTCAGGAATTCTGGGAGTTGAAGTCCACAAACTTGCCAAGTTTGAAGACCCCTTGCTCTAGCACGACCTATGAACAGAGATTTGTATTCTCCTTGGCTCTAAAAATATATTGTAAAAATCAGCCGCCAAAGTCGGATTTGCGTTTTCCTTCCTGCTGCCACTGGGGGGCAGAATGGAGCTTTCAGCATCCTGACGCTTTGCTTGTTCCTATCATCCAAATACTGTGGATTTATTAAGCCTCCTTCTTCCTTAATTCCCTCCCCATCAAAGACCCCTCCCCTGTCCTGGAAGCCCCCATCCCCAGATGCCAGAATGTGCCTTTCAACATCAGCATTACTTTCCTAATCCCAGCCTAATTCCACCGCTGCTAGCCAGGACAGACGCCTTATTGACAAAACTTAAAAGACTGGAAGTTTCCCCAAACAGGTTTGGCGTGGCTGATCCCTCAAAAACTTTTTTTTTGGGGGGGAGGGAGGGGATTCTTCTGTGGGGTGTGCCCACAGCTGGGTCTCCCTCAAGGAACAGCTAATTTTCTAGAGGCAGAAATCCCACAAAAACCTTTACATTAGGACTCCGTAAACCAACACAACAAACTTGAGCTTATACAAAATAAGCAAGCCAACATTCAAGCCAGCTTAGCATGTGGGGCTTAATGAAGGTACCGATTTTGAACCTGCTTTGCAAACTCGGCTAGGGAGTTTACCCATGGCACAGCATAGCTGGTTCAATGTTGGCTTGCAGTGTGCGTTCGTGAACCTCATCGCTGAAGGAAAATACACAATGTTCTTTTGACTTTTGCATTTGGGAACCCAGTAGGAGCTGAGTGAAGCTGTGGTGAAAACCCAGGCATAGCTAGAGGGCAGCAACGATGCCCTCTGACCTTCATCCGGGTCCTTGCGAGAGAGCCGGTAAGAGCCATAAACTCAAGGAAGGTCACAAGAATAAACTAAATTGGCTTTACTGGTAAAGGAAAATAAACCTGCAGCCTTCGCAACCAGCCAAACCACATTTCTGTAACCAGCATGACTGGACATGGCCTTCAAAGCACAATGGAGGAGACACACACAACGCCAAATGCACCTTAGCGCTATTTATGACTGTTCCTCGTTTTTTGTTTTTTAAAAAAGGACTTCTTTCTAAATCCTTGGAGAGACTGGATTTGAAAGTTATTTGCAGATGAGCTTCCGGTTCCTCCAAGCAAACAGAAAGGGGTATAAAACAAGACTAGAAGACTGAAAATAAGGACACCGTATCACACAATCTCTGGGGGAGAAGCAATCAGCTTTTTTTACCCATTGCTAGTTTTAGAAGAGAGTGAATGACACGGTGTCAAAGGAGAGAGAGAGAAAAGAAGAGAGAGAGAGAAGGAGAAAGAGAGGTAAAAGGAGAGGGGGAGGGAGACGGAGAGAAAAGGAGGCGAGAGGGAAAGAAAGTGAAAAAGAGGGTGAGAGGAAGGAAGGAAGGAAGGAAGGAAGGAAGGAAGGAAGAAAGGAAGGAAGGAAGGAAGGAAGGAAGGAAGGAAAAAGAGGGCAAGTAAGGGAGGAGACAGGATGAGAAAGGGAAAGAGAGAGGGTGAGAAAGAAAGAGGAAGAGGAAGGAAGAAAAGATTAAGAAAGAAAAAGAGAAAGGAAAGAAAAATAAAAGGAAGGAAAGATTTGAATGCGAGAAAGCATTTATAGAAGGGGACTCTTACTATAACGATTTGTTATTTTAGCAAACCATACAAATTGCTTTGCTAAGCATAATTACAAAAACGAATAAAATATACTGCTCACCTCTTTTTTTTTTTTTTTGCCTGTGGCTTAAAATACCCACATATTTTGGTAGGTGGGGAGTCGGCACACATTCTACTATAATCAAACCTATTGATTATTATTATTTTTCCGTTGGCAGCGCTTCACCCCAAATAAACACCTACCACCGAGTAAATTGAGATTTGATTGCTCTAGCTTTTATTTTTATTTCAAAAGCTATCCTCTTCCATCTGGGCCGTTTCCTTAGAGAAGGAAAGCAACACACCTGCGCTCTTTTATCTGGAGAGAAACACCCTTGTTCAAACACCCATAAATTAAGCTGCCAGACCAATCTCTACCATGCCAGGCCAAAAGGCTGGGAATTGGGTTTCTAAAAATTATTGCCATGAGAAAGAAAAAACTTAAGAATCCAGTTGGAGGGAGGGAGGGAGGGAAGAAGGGAAGGGAAGGAGGGAGGGGTTTTATCAGGATTAACTCCAGGTGCCAGATCCATAAAACAAGAAGCAAAACAGTTCTACCTCTGACAACATCTGTAGTAGCAGCTACGGAGACACCCGGCCAGGATGAACCCTTCCACTCCCTTGCAAGAAGAGGACAGTTGCCACCATGCCACACCTGTTCAGAAACTTTGTGTAACCTCCACGCACACCCAATGATTAACCAGGGCAGGAAAGGAAGGCAGGATGTGATTCTCCCAAGCCAACATGCACCAATTTCCTTATTCTGTTGTTGTTTTTCCTCTCTCAAAGTGTAAATACAGCAGGTCACTTACTCAGCCTGAGCCGGTGGATCTCGGCAATCTGTCAAAAAGAAAATAAAAGAAAATAACTCCTATCAGTTGTATCCTGAGAAATTTTCCAGGAGTGAAGAACAGCCTTCTCTGGTATTTTAGTCTTTCTACTTTGTGGGCTTCTGGGAACAAGTGTGATTGTGAACCTGACTGCATTTCCTACCTACGGCTGCTAGGAATATAGGCAGTCCTCAATTTACGACCAAAACAGAGCCTAACATTTCTGTTGTTAAGCGAGACAGATAAGTGAATTTGGCCCCCATTTTCGGACCTTTCTTGTTGTTAAGTCAGTCACTTGGTTGTGACACTGCAACCGTCATAAATATGAGTCAGTTGCTACGAGTCTGAATTTTGATCCCGTGGCCGCAGGGCTGTTGGTGAATTTGAGCGGTCACTATACGAATTGTTTGTATTGCACTGACTTTTAAAACATGGTGGAACTGCATTCTGTTTGGGATAGATGGTGATTTATAAAAAATCAGGCGACGTTTGGAAGTCTTGGTTAATATGATGATAATATTCCAAAACAACTGGAACAATGCTATGAACACTGTCGGCATTGACAACATCCCCAATGGTCAATTGCAAGAGGGCAGTTTTATTAGGGAAACTTTTACATCCTGAGATGATACTTTTAATACTGTGTTTTCCCCGAAAATAAGACCCTGTCTTATATTTTTTTATTTTTGCCACCAAAAAAAGGCACCAGGTCTTATTTTCAGGGGAAGTCATCCACTGACTAACTTCACTTGCATGCATTGCCACCAGCCTCCTTTTCGCTGTCAGAGGCCTTCAGGAACTTCTTCTTCTGCGGCCGGCAAGGCTATCCTGAAGGCCTCTGCAGTGGATAAGAGCTCAGGATCGATCCAGAGCTTTCTTATCAGCGACAGAGGCCTTCAAGAAATCCTGGCCAGCCTGACCGGCTGCAAAAGAAACGAGCCAGCAAGGCAGGTGTCTGGGTGTGCGAGGCCTGGCTACAACTGTCCAAAGGTTAAGTAGTAGGGTAGCTCCACCCTGCCATCCCCACCCTAGCTTAATTTTTACCTGTCCACTCTGAACTGGGCGGGATCTTAATTAGGGCTTATTTTGAAGGTATTGGGCGTATGTGTAAAAATCAAGCTAGGACTTACTTTCAGGTAGGTCATATTTTCGAGGAAACGGGGTATTATTACACCACATCACCTGCCCCTATCCCAGGTCCTTAGGAAGGACTCCACAAGTGAATAATAATGCCAGATCCGGTCTAAACGTCTGTCTGACTGGCCATCAACCATAGTAATGATTCAGTAGAACAAGGGTCTTAAACAGAATCTGTGGGGCAGGAAGACCCCTACAAATGGGCAGGGCTATACTTGTCTGCACTCACAAGTAAACAATACTATATTCATCGGGTTTGCTTCCCAGGTAAGTATATACAGAATCAAGGCCAAGAAAATGTGTAAGAAGTGGATAAAAGGAGAAGCAAGGAAAAGGCGGCAGATGAAAAGGAATACTTTTAAGAGAGGGGAAAAATTCTATAGACCAGTATTTTTCAACCTTGGAAACTTTCAGACCTGTGGACTTCAACTCCCAGAATTCCCCTTTGTGGCTAGGGAATTCTGGGAGTCGAAGTCCCCGAGTCTTAAAAATTGTCAAGATTGAGAAAACATTTAAAGCAGACTATTTCAAAGCAGGCAGGTGAAGGAGTAATAAGATTTTTTATTCAAAACAAACAAACAAACTATAGCTTCTCCGGGAAGCAACAAATGATTTTTTTTTTCCTTTGATTTACAGATCCAGCGGATATGATTTAGGAAGCGGGTGAAAAGGCTTTGAAAAGCTGCTTGTGGGTTTGAGTTTTGTACTAGGGACTAAAACTCTTTATAATTCTCCAGCAGCCACGAGTGCTTTGTTTCCGTGTTTTATTTTAATATTTGTGTTTGTGTTTTCATAATTGGGAGCAGCCCTGTCGTGGTTCACCGGCAGCCTGTGGAGATGGCAGCAGAGTCGGACAGTGGGGAGGAACATGGACCAGTCAGGGAGTCTGGGGAGGACTCGAACGAGGGTCCTGCATCTGATGGAGGGATGAGGCCAGGGCCATCTGGGAGTTAGGTGCAGACTCCGGAGCCTCCAGAATCTGACAGCAGCGAGGCAGAGGAACAGAGGGAGCCTGTTCCCAGTGTGAGTATGCACAGAGCTGCCAGAAGGCAAGAACAGTTAAAACAAAAGCGGGCAACACGGGAGTAAGGCTTGGAGGTGATTGGCCCTCCCATAAGACATAAAGGAGGAGCAAAGGGACAGGAATCTTTGCAGGAAGCAACTTTGCGTACTGGTCGGTTTGAAACCTGAAGCTCGGTGTTGAATTTGTGTTCCGTTTTGGCCTCGTATCACTAATTGGACATTTAGTTGTTGGCAGCACGTCAAGGAAGGTAACGGTGAGTGCTTATCAGACTTATCCTGAAGGACTTTGGCAAACTTCCATGGGACTATTTACAAACTGTTTCAGACTCATTACGGGCTGTGAATGACTCAAATCCACAGCTGTTGAAATAAAGAAAAAAGGGGTTTGGGGACTAACATGTGTTTGTTAGTGTCTTCATAAGCCTTGGTCAGAACAGGCCCAGAGTCGCGCCCTTGGGTGGGTTGTGTAAGCGGATTAAATTGCTACATAAAATCTGAATGGGGGCCAAACGAGATCTGAACGCTTGCCTCCCGCCGGACTGCCCTTACCAAGGTGGGCGCTGGAGTCAGAGGGCGTCAAGGGGACACGGTCCTCCAGGAGTGCCTCTTCCGCGTCCCAGCCGCCCAACGGTTCCAGGTCTTCGCTGATGCTCGACCTTCGCCTGAGGGGTGGGTCCTGCAGTGCCCCCTTGGTGCCCAGCTCGGTCCTGGCATTGCTCACCACAAGGCGGATCGGATCATCTTCTTCGCTATCTTCAAATTCAAAGGCTTCTCCGGCGTCATCAATGTCCCCCTCGCTCCCTGCACACAGAGAGAGAGGAAATATTGTAAATTCGGGCGGGAAAGGAACTAGTCCTCATGAAACACTCCTCAGCCCACCTTTAAAGATCGGAGAACAAAGCCAATTCATACCTTGGGTTTCCTGGCTTGAATGTGGACCTGACTTTTATAAAATGAATTCATATTATCCGTTTCAACCGCTTTCTGTTCCTTCCTAATCCATTTTTTTTAACCTGCTTTAAAAAAAATAGTCCTCTAATTATGACCGCAATTGAATTCCCACTGCTAAGCAAGGTGGCTGTTTTAGTGAATTGCGGCTGGTTTTACGGCGTTTTTTTGCAACCGCGGTTACATCAATCCTCTGGTCGTTAAACGGATCACTGAGTCTGCTTGTCAAAAACCAGCTGGGAAGGTTACAAATGATGAACACGTGGCCCTGGGATGATGCCAGCATGGTAAATACATGCCAGTTGCCCTAATTTTGATCATTTAATTTTACTTTTTGTAAAAGAATGGGGCTGTTTTAGTATAACTTGAATGATGATTTATTTTAGCAAACCAAATCAATCGGTTAGCCAAGCACAACTATAAAAGCTGATAAAATACATTACTCTCCACTTTTTTTAAAATCCCTGTGGCTTA